CGAGATCTTTTCGGTGAATTTTAATTTCTCAGATAGTAGAGCGATTAAAACTGTTAACTTCCGAGCGCTAGAGGTGGTTCGAAACGAATTATCCAGGCCTCATAAGGAACTGAAGTTGACAATCACGGCTAGTGAAGATGGGCAAATTAGGGCCAGCGGTAGACAACTTGGCATGCATTGATTGTTGCGCTTAGGCCGTATCGGATGAGTTGAACGAAGACGGTGGACTTCATAAAATGTTCTCCATAAGAGCTGCCGAAAGACGAAATGTTCTTTTATTTTAAATATCATTTATCAGCAAAAACAAAATCAATAGCCCTCACATATTCGTTACTGCTTATTATCCGGAATTTAACTTTCGTAATATTGATTATCCTCTTAAAAAATCCCTTTCTCCTGCTGGAGCCATAGTACTAAGGAGGTCCAGTTGTGCTGTGGTAAAAAAATGTGCACGACTTCATGGACCGAAACATTTTTCACTTTATCAAAAATTATTTTTTTCATTTCCTGCTTTATGTATTTCCTTTTTTCCAAACTTAGTTCTTTAAAAAAATATTGTTCCAAACTTAGTTCTTTAAAAAAAAAATCTATAAAGAAAAAAAAAATTGAGTTGCATTATGAGCGCTTGTCCTGAGCCCCACAGTGACTGTCTAGACAATTGTACCGAGCAGCAAAAAAGGCGTCAAGCAGTTTGCCGTTTGTTTTAGTAGGTTTTGAGGAGGAATAAGTGAAATTGTTGCAAGTAATTTAATCGATTCAGCACGTGCGAAAGAAAAAGCGCCTTGCATCATCTTCATCGATGAGATTGATTCAGTGGGTTCGAAACGGGTCACCGATGCGATGCATCCTCATGCCAATCAGACAGTCAATCAGGTAAGACAGAAATGAATTCTTTTTGTGCACTGCTTAAACAGATGTTCTTCTGTGCATTTACTTTTCTGGTGGTCGTTTCCCTGTCAGACTTGGTTAAGTAGTACCTCGTAGTATTAGGGCGTGTTTTGTTCATGTTTAGACATTAGAACATGTATCTTCCTGTGGGTGGTAGCTCATGTGGTGTTCAAAAGTGGGAAGAAATACCAAAATAAGTCTCTTTTCACACAGGGGAATAATTTTGGTTCTTCATGAAATTTTTCAAATGATCGGATATAAGAATTCCACGAAAGGTAACTCTTATGGTGCGTGTGGGGGTTGATTCTGCTGGGATGCGCAAGCGATGGACGCAGCAGTGTTAGACCCTTAAATCCTGAGCTGCATACCTTCATTTGGTACCTTCTGTTTTCTAGATAAATGCGCATTGCCTCTTCATAAGCTGCCAGAGTGGTTATTTATTTATTTTTTTTTCTTGTACAGTTTTTACCAGATATTTTCCTCTACGAAGAATATTCGTAAAATTTCCTCTTTGAATGTGCGATACACGCGTACCATATTCTACTGATATTTTTAAAACGATACAGAATTTTTATGCAGTGGCCAATTTGTACGAGCTTTTTTGAATCTCTGTGATGTGACGACCGAATAGCTTGGTTCATTTAGTAAAATTACTCCCATATCATTCTGGAAAAGAACGAATCCATTCCTGTTTAAGTGGTCAAACTTCCTGTGTTTCTCTTTCCCGAGGATTATTAGATAAATTAAGCTTCATAAGAAAGAATTGCCGACCGTCTCACGTGCTCAGTAAAAATTAGCCTATACAGCAGTCTAGGTTTCGAAGTAATAACAGTACAATGGAATGGATCAAGTATTCCCTTGGGTAGTAGCTGCCTGAGCACCCAGGACTGTGTAACAGCTCATGTGCTTTATAAATAGTGAGCGTTTTATGTTAAATTTACTACTGCAGCCGAAAAATGATTATTCTAATCGAACATGTTTAATTTTTACGTTCAGTTACTTGCCGAAATGGATGGTTTCAATCCGAACGAAGGTGTGATCGTCATTGGAGCGACAAATCGAGTGAGTGATTTGGATCCAGCCCTGCTACGACCTGGACGTTTTGACGTACAAGTTCAAGTCTCATATCCGGATCTTGAAGGACGCAAGGAAATCGTACAGTAAAATTTTTCACCTCAGTTACGCAAAAATTCATTTGATGCATTGTAGGATTTGTTACAACATCAGATATCTTTCCAGATTGTATTTGAATAAAATAACGGCTGCTGAAGATGTAGACGGGGATATAAT